AGAAAGCCCACTTTGCCTTCAACCCCACCTTGATTCTCGGTGGAATTTCGTATTGGCGTCATCGGCGGGCGACACTAGACCGACAACGAAAGCTGGTCAACATGGTGCGTCACGATGTTCTCCGCTATTTGCAAACGGCGTGGAACAAGCCTCCGGGGGTCGATTTGCAACAGGGTGAAGTGGCCGTCATTCAAGTCCGCGACGAAATCGCCGACCGCATGTACGATGGATACTACGAAGACGAGAAGCGTCAGGACTTTTTGCTTCAAGTTTGGCCCATTGTGTGCCTCCAAATCAGTAAAGACAACCGCGTCCGAAAAGTATCCCGTGTCATTGATGGCAGCCGACGTGCCTTGTGGATCTGGACGGCGCCTCCTGCTGGTGAAAACGCCATGCAGTCGTAACTACTTTGTCATGTACGTACGTGTCAAGAGTGGTCTTTTTGGATGGCACAAACAAGTCTATGGGGAAAGACCCAAACAGCCCAGCCAGCAGCGCACTTTGGTTTCATCGGGCAGGGATGGTGCTGAGAGCGCATTGCTTGCTGGGTAGTTTGGCTCGGTCACAAAAATGGAAGAAAAGCAACGGTTTGGGGAATACACACGTGTAGTTGTTTGGTTGTTTTGGAGGCATGGCAAATAAGGTATCTTCTCCGTTCAGGGAGTGCGGGGGTGTTGGAGCTTCTCAACCACCCTCCACGACACCGCACTAGCTAGCTCGCCTGTAATCAACTAACTAAAAAGGAATATGTTTTTATGACGCTGTAAAGTTCCACTTGCTAGCTACTAGAACCTCTATCAGAAGCTCACTTTGCGGTGCGTCATCAGAGCGCTTTTACCGCACTGCAGTAACCTCTAGGGTACTAGAGACTGGCCAGCTACCGGTAAGGGTCCATTCCAAGACCCGCCATGGTCACTCCATCACGTTGAATTGCAACCAATCGACATGAAACCACATCAACCAAAACCTTCTCAATTACAAACAATATGAATCTACACATCCTTTAAAACAAAACTTCGACTCGAAGTCATGTTCATTACTGGCTAATACTGCATAGGCAGAAGCAGGCCTACTAGCTAGGTTCCCGAGATAAGTGGACAAGAGTTCCACATTCTTCAGAGACGTCAGAATGGAGAAAATGGGTGTGAAGTTGAAACCATCGTCGCTGTTGTGAGACCATCCACTGCATGAGCAGAACCAGACTTTGTCAGGCTCGGCAAGAACATTTTCTTCCTGTATAGCCGCCCATGCGTTGCAGTGGCCCGTACAGAGATGATGAGACGCTCAACCTTGGAGTCGTCAAGCCAGTCGTCGCCCAGTTCAAATCTCCAACTGGAACCCACAAAAGCTCTCACTGGAACCCTCAAAGCTATAGAACAATGGTACTAACACGAAGAACTCTGTCTCTTTCTCCACTGCTCGAGAATAGGCTAAGCTTTGGGGCGAACCTGGATTGTCCAGCCACTCTGGCATGGCCAGACCGAAAAGGATCGGGGGGTCAATTGGTGCGATGAAAGGAATCACTCTTGGTCGTCTTGCGACGCAAATTTTCGGCATCACGAGTGAGCGCGTAGATGAAAGAATGGAGCAGTACCGGTCGTGAACAGGAGGGCACAAACAGAGATGGCGAAGCCGACTCTTTGTCAGTGTCTTTCTTGTCCTCATTTGATTGATTCCCGTTGCGGGGCTGCTTAAAGATCAATTATTGAGATAGCAAGGCCGTGGACTGGTTCTGTGACAATGTTTTGATCCCACAATGAGACTTCGGTGGAGCTTGGCGTTGGTTCACTCTAAATGGAGGTATCCGTCCACAACGAAGGATACTGAAGATCCCTCACCTGCTCTATAACCATCCTCAGCGACAAGCTGACACCACGGGGAGAAACCAACATCACGTATCGTCTTCCGTCGCTCAAAGAACCTTTCATCGTGGACGTCAACAGTAGCAAATGACTTCCCAAGTGGATGAACAATCCGGCATGCGTCTCAGAATGAACCACCAAGAAAGACAAGTGCAACTCTCATCGTCGTCGAAATTCGGCTTGAGATGAGAAGATGACGTGCCCTTGCCGTGTGCCTGCAAATGAATGCCTTCCAATGTCTTGTGCGTCTTCATGTGTGTGCGCTCGGAGTTGATAGGCAGTTACTAGCTAGCAGTAGAGCTATCGTCGCCGTCGCCACCCTTCTCATCGTGGAGCAAAGAGGAATATCACTGCCGCTCATTCCATCGTGGCAAAAGTCCCTTCGCCGTTGTTTTAAGCCACCGCCCTGCCTATCATAGTGCTGACTTCCGACGCTCGAATTCGAAACACGTAAAAACTTCTCCACTTCTCCCATCGTGGAGCTCGTTGATGCTCTACATCTACCCTTGCTTTGAGACCGTCAGATAAGCTTTGGAGACCATTCTAGCTAGCTAAGTGTGGTACCATACGTGGTTTCAACAACACTTGTGTACCGGTAGTGGAAGGGAGAGGAAACGGCCGATGGTTGTCCCCATGCCCTTCGAGAAAGGTGCAAGAGCAAACTGTGTCTCACAGCTAATTCTCTCAGTCTCCTTTTTCGCCGTCATCTCCCAGGAAGAAGAGCTCGCGAGTTAAACCATTGCCCACTACATGTCTACATGTATTCGATTCGAGTCGTGCATAATCAGAATCCTAATTAATTTTTGGAGCCACCCTAATCAATTTTTGGAGCCGCTCCAAAAATTGATTAGGGTGGCTCCAAAAATTGATTAGGATTCTGATGTATCCACGACTCGAATCGTCATTCGTCTGAAAGGCTTTAAGTCTTCACATTGGGGTTCTATTTTACACGAAGAGCTCATGAAGAATATTAATGAAGAAGGAGAAAAGGCGACAAGGACCCCTCCCCTGAATGGGGGGGAAAAAGTCAAAGAAGTGAGAGGCTTTGAAGACCCCTATTGATGCAACCAACCTAGTGGATGGTAGAAAGAAGAAGTCTAGCGCTAGACTTGGAGCAGCAAACACAATCGCGGCAACCTTCCTCCAGTATCTTCAGGTTTCATTTCGTACCCAGTCCAGCGACCTACGTTCAACCAACCTATCATAGCATCAGGTGTCATAGACGGTATCATATATATCATGTCTCCTATTACGGAATCTTCCGCCACTCGCATTCGGTACAACCAAGACGGTACTCGGAGACAAGGCAAGCTATTGACTCTTCAAGGTGTTACCAATAGGAACGTGGACGGTCAAGTAGAGATTGATCATGGGTATCTCTATGTTCACGTCGCATCCTTCCTGGCTTGGAAGCACGCGCAGGAACGCAATGGGGTCATACTACCCTCTCTGCCACAAGTCCTGGGTGACTGCGATTTCGATTGGTCCTTGGAATCCAGAGATACCCAGTTCTCTCCTGTGCATGGAGTACGAGCCTTGGTCGCAGCCACCACCGATCCAACACCCAAAGTGACTCATACTCACAACAACAACAACTATACCCATACCCATGCTACTGGCAACTATACCCATACCCATACCATGACAAGTCCTGAAGCACAACCGCAAGCAGAAGAAGACTGGCAAATGCCCTTTGGCATTGTGGGGTCCGTCTATTCCAGTGTCACGCTACCAATAACGGCGTTTGGACAAGGATTCAGTCTTCCTCAAACCAGCGGCGGAGCCATTAGTGGAGCGTTGGAAAATAGTAGCTTCCCCTTTGTCGAGTCGGAGACTACCATCCCCACCCAGTAACTCGCCGAGAGATGCCACACGGGCCTTGTTCGGATCTGTGCGCGCGCGCATTAAACATTGATCAAACAAGAAGCAGCGTAAGGTCAGTACTACATATTGGATGCATCGGATCGCATGTCAGGATGCCAATGCGCGAGCTGCCGTACTACTTATTCGGTCTCCTATTATCGCAGACTCTCGCAGTATTGTTAGCCAAAAACAGTTCGGACGGATTATTTAGTTCCCTTACGCGGCTCCAGTTCTTGCGCGTGACCTATCCTCATAATCGAGAAAGTATATCACTAAGCGCGCGTCGGCGGACCTTGCCGACTGTCTAAATAGCAACTCAACAGATCATCGACCGCGCCAGTGTAGGGCAACACATTCCCGGTCCATGTTAGATGTAAAATTTCTCGAAGATATCTTTTATCAGGTTACCCGGCGTGTATTCGACTTGCCGGGTGGCATTCTCTATTCTTAGGTAGCCACTACGTTTGAGATGGAGTCCAAATCATACTCAGTACATAAGAGCCTGGATTGTGGTCTGCCCTGTCATGATTAGATACCTAGAGCGATTACGTCTCAGAACTCAATAATCGCAGCTTACATGCGGACACCACTCTTATGTCGCTCTCACACGACATCTAATGGTCGATCTTAGACTACAAGGGCAGGTATAGAGAGAGGACAACTTGGAGTGGGATCACTGGTAGTCGATGGAGGCTCCAAGAAGACTGCTTACCAAATTTCTTGGCCAAGAAAGTGTCCGCTTTATCATCACTATGTGCTATGGCCGGGAGTTCTTGGTGGCCACACAACAAAAGTCACCAGGACTATCTGCAGACAATCAGTCACAGTAAATCTCTTAATGGGAATCAAGACTCACACTTCCTCCATGTTTCAGAGATGAACATTCAACACCACTAGGTTTCGTTCGTTACAATGAACTTTACCTTTCACAACCAAATCTCTCCGGGTCTATAGGGCTTGGCTAACCATTGCGTAAGACAGGAATCATCAGAACTTGTTTCTATCATTAGTAAGCCACATACACGCTCTGGCCATTCTGCGCGTTGTTTGAGCGAGAGGTCAGACGACCAGGTATCGTCGGAGACTCTAGTTCTCCAGTATAGCAACGGGGACCAGACTCATTTATGGATGTCACGCAGACCCGACTAGTAGGAGGTCAGCTTGAATCTCGAGGAGTCTATGTGCTGGGCGGAGGGTGGGCGACGGAGACGATAGAGAGCTCATCACTAACTACTAATATCCTCACGATGAACTTCATTACTAGCGGAAGGAACAATGATAGCGCGCTACGGAGTGCCCATATACTTTTGAAGTTTAATGACCAAAACACACCGACATGCAGGTGCAGCACAGAGCACAATCAAAGCCAATAGCACTTCCGCATAAGTATCCATTGCCGTGGGTTCTTTCGGCACGGTACCAGGCAGCATCAGTCTCGAGCGGAGACAATGTGTTCGCCTGGAGCGAGGACGAACTCGGACGAACAAAATACATTCGACTTCCGGACATCACGTCTGGACTAAGGGCCCATTTGGCACCCGAACACAAGTGTCGACACTCTGTGTCATGCTATCTCATCAAATTTCACCTGTGGCACTCTGATTAGAGATTGTACCACACCAAAACATTACCTCCGCATTCCACCTTTGCCTCCCTTTCGCATTTGCATAGTAGAGCAATCAATGATGCCATTTGGCATGCTCATCAAGACCCATGGTCCAACCTATGAGATGACAGGTCCCTAGTTGTGTGCACCTTCATTGTCACATGTCTTCTACGAGCTTGATCATCCGCACTTTGGTTGGAACACCTAAGCAATCTATATTCATGAAAAACCTTGTATGGGTCGCGAGCGTGGACTAAAAGCCACTTAATTAACACCTCGTCGCTTACAATCATCACTATGTTTGTCGGAGGATCTGTCTGCACATACCAATAAGGAGGACTGAGGTCAGTTGGCACTGGCCTTCATCAAGATGAATGCAGCCAATGGAGAAACTACATGTTGACATACAGGGTGATTTGCTGGTATAACTTCTTGTTTGTTAAACCGCAACATTACATCTTTGATCGAACAGTAGAGAAAGACAATCACGTAGCACTTGGACATGACCATCGATGACATCTCTCACTTTGGGCTCACTCTGGCTAGGATTTGAGAGAGTGAGTAGCCGCGATATCGGAGAGCATATCCGAAGGAGTTCTCACTTAAGAACTCTGAGGAGCGCAACACTCATGCACAAGAGAATGCATCAGCTACTAATCGAGAGATGAACATAGCCCTCCTGTTACATGACGTCCATAGCAATATCAGCTCTTTTTGGCCCTTTGTAGGTCTCGTGACAATCAATGTGGCCATGTTGCTGGGATGGAGTATTGCGTCCCCACTCAGATATACCCGTGTGGAAGCGAGCAACAATGTGGATGAATATGGGAGGGCTCTGGAATCCTATGGCCGATGCCAAAGCACCTAGAATACGATGCACCATACCTATTCCAGACCTACCCTATATTAATTGATCTCAAATATGCCGCTATTCTGTTGACATCTGCTTACTATAGCCTGTGTACGTCGCGAAGAACATAACCTCACCATCAATCTCACTTATTAAGAGACACAACTGATGGCACCGCAACACTACTCTCGTATCTACTTAATTCCCACTATAGGCTTCCACCTCCTCCACAAACCACTTGTCTTATACTCAACCACCCTTGATCCGACAGCACCTTACTTTCGGAATCTTCCTATCTTGCTCTGGGCATGGCCAGTCTCTTGGAATCCCTCCTGCTAGGTGGGCCAATCTACTTTACAGTGGTGGACAATCCCACGGCATCCTACTTGGTTGGATCTGCACTTTTGTGTATCATCAGCCTTACTATTCTACTTATACTACCTTTATATCACCAGTCTTCGCATAACATAAAAGTAAATCACTTATACTAATCGAGCAAACAAACATCTGTGATCACTAAAGTTGTCCACTGGACGTTGTGTTTTACAGGATCACTCAGATCTACCTTCCCAGCGCCCCTGTTTCCACCCTGGCAAGACAAAATGGTGTAGCAGATCTAACCGACGCGTCCACCCGCAGCACCCCATTTGGTTCTCACGAGTCCAAAGCAGGGTTCATGTTTATTACGCGAATTCATGATACTCCTCCGATTCCAAAGAAAGGGAACGGCCGACCCCGTCATGGTAGTACCGTTCCTGCCTCCAAAACGGGGCCGATGGACGCATCATCACAAGCAAACGAAACAACGTTTACCAGACCGTCGCAACAACCAGAGACCAAGTCAAAAAGAGAAAATCATCTCGACATGGGCGTTCACACTGTTTGAGGGGTGGGCTTCAAAACCTCTAGTCGATTTGCCCACAGTTCAGTCGCGTTTATTGCTCATACCTTTATGAAATGATCCTAGCGGTGTTTACTGTTTACAGTAGATCCTGCATTCACCACACTACATTGACATCTAGCTAGCTAGCTCAGGTCTTGCTTTTCCAGCTATGGGTACGAATGGCTCTGGAGGATACTTGGAGTCAACAAAGCGTCTGTATGTTATTCGTTATTATTTTGTTTCCGAACAACTCTTTCAGTTAGTGTAGACTGTTTACAAGGCAGTAGTCACAGAAAGGAGGAGGCCAGCATCACTGGCGATGGTATCTGAAAGTCCTTCACCGAAAGCAGACACATTACTCGTTAAGATTCACGCCACTTCCGTCTTCGCTTGTAGATACCTCTTGAAAGGCACTTGTCGGGGACATTTGTGTCGTTCCACAGTCTTGGAACAAGATCTCCATAGCTCTGCAGCTTCGGCTGTGCTGGTTCACGAACAAGAGACAACAAGTTATATTTTTCGAGTGATATAGAGAAAGATTGCTTGATAAGAGCAAGACACACAAGAGCAGTCTTCATTGCTCATTGATCAGCATCAGGGCGTGGCCACTGGTAGCCTTGGTTCTCAAATGGCTGTTCCTGCAGGCATCGTCGAATATGACAAAGGTCGAAAGGACACACGACCGGAGCCTATATCACGACACGTAACGCTGTGCTTCACTAGAACACACAGGATTGGTTGCACGAGGAGAGGTCCCAGACAGTGCTTTGGGAGTAACTCATGTGACAAACTAGACGAGTCGAAACGACCATATACGACGGAATATCAAGTGCTTCCTTTGAAGGGGCCTTTTTGAGCTATATCATATGGAAGCCGATCAGTTTGAGGCTGAAAGAGACACAGTCTTCCCGCCGACTGCTCCATTCTGGAGGAGCTCGGAAGTACAGGAACTGTATGTCGACCTGGATACAATTATCTTCGCAATGAGAGTTTGAGATGTGAGTCTCTCCTAACTGGTGCGAGGACGTTTCTGGGCGAGCGACTCCTCTTGCACTTCAGCTCTGCGTTAGCTAACTTCCATTAGGACAACACACACCTGCCTTCTCCTCTCTGTTGCTTTCGCAAAGAAACCGACCTAACGACGTAATCGAACGCACCACAAATACAACCACGCCTTCGGGGCGCACCGGGTCCTTTGGCATTAGAAAGAGTAAATGTTCGAGGTTCATTCTGGTCACTAAGAATCCTTATCCGCCGTCGAGATCGCAAACGCCTCCCATTGTCGTCTTCATAGAGTTGTCTGAGCAACATAGTACCTCTACTCAGATTTAAGTCATTACCAATTCAGGTCATTAGGCCAACTTGCTTGAACGAGATCAAGACACATTGTGAAGGCGCCGGTAGTCACTTCGTACTGAGTTCTGTGGCCTGCAGAAACCCTAGTCTCACGACATAGAAATAATAAACCTGACCTAATAAAACACGTACATCTCCCACTAGGACCTAACCGCAATTCCTTTCAAAAACTTACCGCCGCCGATCAACTAAGCAACACGCTAAGCTCATCTTAAAATCGGATGTATATGCTATGACAGCAGAGACCCAACTCAGAGAGTCCACCCAAACAACCACCTAAGAGACAAGCGATAAAATGAGAAACAACCGGAGCTGCGCAAAGGCTTATAGAAAGTACGATGTGCCGAGGCATTCAGCCTCATTCTTCTTGGTTCGGCTCGCGCAGTTCCTCAACATTCCATCCTCCGCTCCGTCGGCATCAGGGTCGAAATCTCCACTACTTGCCGGGACGCTATATTGATCTATCTGGGAGCGCCTACGGAATGACTAGGCACTCATAAATTCTAATGGGTGCATACCGCAGCAACCAGTGCACGCGGAGCAAAAAGCGGATAGGGAGTCAGCTGCTCGCTAAGCCTATAATCATCCAGCACCATCCCTCAATCTCTTTGCCATTCCCCGAGGACAATCATGAAATCTTGGAAGACTCTGCTCTATGGTTATACTCCTCTTTGAGTGCGGTGCTTCTGCCACTAACCTCTACTAGTCGGTAAGGCTGCTGCACGACATTTGCCTATGAGCTAATAGTCGGAGAGGCTAGATCAGTACGTCCAGAGGGATATTATGTCGGGAGTTATGGCGTACCTCCTACATTTCATACGTGCAATTGCCTACGGAGCGCGAGATGCTTCGTAGTCACTAGCGACGAGCTACGCACAAGCACGGATAGTGCAATCCGTGAAGCTCACTCTAAGTGGTCACCGTACGGCATCAGATCGAGTACGAGAACCGGTGGCACGCTTCGGGTTCTCAAGTCCCTGTACCAGCACTGACGCCACACAATGCCTATGATAGTAGGATGTCAGCAAGACTTGAAGGATTATCCAGGCGTAGCCGGCACTTGCGCGAGCGCATTGTATTTCCACAGCATGAATGGGACGAGACGGTACAAATCGCACCCCGTATATCGAATGGCAATCTGATTAATAGTCGAACCGCTGTCCCAGCCAACAGCAATCGTCGATGAGAAGTCGTCGAGGAACATGGATGCTGAAACCTTGGAGATCACGTTTTCGTCCTCCCTAAGTTGCAATCTTGCGTCTCCGATGGCGACGACGAGAGATCGGAGCTAAAGCGAAGAGCAACGTCAATCGAGCCATTCCACCCAGGCTCTTCCTAAGCTCGCCGAGAAACCAGCAGGAGGGCACAGAGCGGCGTAGATTCGTCCTTCGGGCTAGCGGCACGTAGGCCTACACCATCACTTAGGGTGAGCAAGGACATTGGCCTCGCGGTCCGATCCACAATGGTCGCAAGCATTAGAGCCGTAGTTTGCCGAAACGTCATGTCTATCTCGCGTAGGGGCCGCCAAAAGGTTGCAACGCGTACATACATACAACCAAATGCTTCCGGCAATGTAAGGAATTTGGTCGATCGCGAAAAGATCGACCCAGCGTCTAAATGAGTGTGCAACCTGGACTGGAGCGAGAACAACGATTCGCAGGTCAACTTCTGTCCTTATCAGTTACCATCGAGGAAATACACTTCAGGCGCTTGGTCTGTCACACCAAGCAACAGAATTGGCTTCGAGTTCTACTCGAGAGGCACAATAAGCCATACATAGGTTTAGGGCCGTATTTCAAGACACGTCATCTCCCTCTGTCAGTTTCTTCATCCGAGGCTCAGGACAGCCTCCTTGTGGGCCGAACGCGAGGACGATGATTATGCTCAGCTATGGCGCTGGAGAGCCGGGTGCGGCTTCTGTAACGCGACTCCTCAGAGTCACGCCACCGTGGCGAGAATCATACTGACGCAGCGGGCACACCAGTAAGGCCATTATTTTCGGAACATCGCTAGGTTGAAAGGTTAGCATACCGCACACGCCGGAAATACTAGAGATTACGCCGCATCAAAGCAGGTTGAAGTACGGTCCTCTCTATCACAGACTTCAACAAGGGCGCGACTAGAGACTCAGGCACGTACGGTACCCGGGAGATCTTGGATCACTTTGTGTCAAAAGTACAGTATCTTTGTCTATGAGCGTCCAGGCGATGTTTTTGTCTCTTGACCTTCTTAGAATTCGTAGTCGAACGAGGAATTGAAAACAATTATCTCTCACGCTGGCGTGCTATACGCGATCAGATGGTTCAAATCGGCGCAATACCGGTTCGCGCACCTCCGCAAGATAACATAATAGGCCAGTACGAGCGGTTTGTTTGCTGGACTGGTACATCCAGCTTTATGAGGCTGCTCGAGCTGTTTGGCAGTTCCTTTGTTCCTTTGTTTTCAGTCATCCTCGGCCCGTTGAACTGGAGGTACCGTGTTGTACGTGTTAGCGAGATGCGTCGGACTTCTCATTTGCCGCGCAGCCTAATCATCCAGGGAGTCGCCGGCCGAAACACTCTTTGACAACATGGCTTTGCTCTCCAGAGGTATGACCATGGGCGGAACGGAATATGAGGAAGCACTCAGGAGCCGACTCGGAGATAAAGGAAAATGCGCATATCTGAAACATCGACTCAACCAAGAGGTTGACAGCGGATAAGTAATGCGTAGATCTACACTGTGCGCACTCCTACTTGTATTAGGTCCACAGACTTCGGTGTGAACAAACCTATCTCAATCTCGGAACATGGAGCACGCCGTACGGCACTATAAGGATGGAGGGAAAAGAAGTGGCAGGTAGTCCGAGAGTAGACTAACTTCCTGGTAGCATTCTTGAGGCGGTACGCTGCATTGCACGCTATCTATTCTTTAGGAGCTAAGCTGCTTCGAAATCTCTACTATTAACATTTCGGTTATATATAGACTACTTCAGAGTGTATCACAGGATTTTACACTGACTAGGCTGGAGTGCAATCACACTATCTGACATACCATCCTACAAGCCAGACTCATATCTTAGAAAACATCGTTACAAATCTTTATTCATTTTAGCGAAACCAGTCGCACCTCGTTTCCTAATCTGTCATTTTTATCGTTAAGTAAATCCCATGTCTTTCGTTTACATCCGCGCTCCGCTCCCATCTCGCTGTGATTTTCACTAAGATGACATATACCCCGAAAATCAAAAATCGTGAGGGCCCTCTCTACTCATCTGGTGGATAAGAGAAAATATCATTATATGCACCGTTTCAAATACCCTAAATCCCTGCCGGCAGCAATTGAGGGATTTAACACAACTCCAATCACACTTGTGTTCTTCATGTGTCTACGGTACCGACCCTTAAATAATTCAAATCGAATCTTTCCACGAAAACTTGCGATTTCTAGCGAAGATATCGTGCACGACTTCCGCTGGCAACGCCCTTTCCCCCTTCGATACAAGTGTACTGTTTCACTATAGGATTACAAGCCAGGCTACACGATCTCCGCTCAATCGTATCAGCGAATACACTCAGGCGAAGACATCCCCGCTTTCTATATATATACTTTCTTTGCATTGAAAATGTATATATGCAACCATTCTATCGCATCGATCATCTTGAAACAGTCACAAAATCGGTTCAGCAAAACCTCAAACATCCCTCATCCTACCTAGCAGCCAACCCATCAGCCATCTCTCCTGCCCACGTAAGTACTTTCTATTTTACCTTCTCTGTTTGACAATATTTTGCCTTTCAACATGGCCACTCACCTTCCTCTTTCGGACTTCAAGTTTTCAGAACTCCTCAGCATGTCTTCCCAAACACCCGACATCAACACCGTCGTCGCAATCGAACCCTACTTCCGCGGGTATCAACAGCAAGAGAAAAAGGCCGGCGGCAACAAAGCAAGAGGTCCTTTCAACTCCTGTGAGTTCCACGCTGTAATTCCCAGCAACCTCAAGGAAGACGAAGAATACCCCTTCCCCGGAATGTTCCTCAAGTTCACAGGCTTTGTTGAAAAGAAAGCTACCGGGTGTATGTACAACCGACGCAAAGACCACTCCGTCAACGGCGTTAACCCAAAGACATGATGGCCTTTGTTCAAGCCCTCGCTGACAAGCACATGATCGAGTGGGTATTCAAATTGGTGGACCCCGCTTCTGCTGATGGGGAAAAGCTCCTTATGTACGAGGCCACCAACGGTACTGCTTATGACCAAGAGAGGCTTTGTTATCATGTGCCCCAGAGGTGAAGTTATACGAACAAACTGGTGAACGTTTCTTCCCCCAGATCCCAACCCCAGAATTGGCCTTGAAGTGGTTCAATGAAACCTTTAAACGGCCTACATGCAATACGTGTACGACCCGGCAAAGAAGGATGAACCCTACCTAGTTCTCGACGAACAGGACAAGTGGTACAAGTCCATGACACCTGGAGTGAGCTGATCACCCACTCCGACATCATGACTCACCTTGTGACGGATTCTTGGATCGATAAAGGCGAATACCGCACTGTTCCGAATTCCTCAAGGACGACAGGGCCATGTGTACTCTATTTGGCCTCGTGGTCAACTCCGGCTTCACGTCTTACGTCCGTTGATTTCACCGAACAAACCTTGGATGCATCGGACTTCGGTCGCATGCGGGCCATCAATGGTGCCCGTCGCAACATTATTACACCACTACCCACACCACCACCCCCGCCCCACCTCTACTCCACCATTTCGCCTTCAAGCTGCCACACTGGCCCTTCCCCATGGTTTTGCACTACCCCCGGCATGAACTTTGAGGCCTTCTTGGGAACTCTTCTCAAAAGCACCAGCAGGAGACGGTGGTAAGTCTCCTACGGTAGCTTCCCGTATAAATCCCCCGTGCCCTCACTTTCAAATCCTCAATACTGGACCTCCCAATATTATTCGCAAACCATTCCCAGTTCCAATGCAACAAATACGTCATCTCCCGTCCACCTGTTCCACGAACCACGTCGGCCAAAGTATCCACTTGCGAATAGTCGAATGATGACACTCCACAAGGTATGAAGAAAGCTGCCGAACTTGCTCACGATCCTATTACCGAATAACCCCAGTTCCGACGAAGAGCGGGAAACAGAGGAAAAAGAAGACACCAAGCTCCCAGCGGAAGCGAGCCAACCCTCCACTTAACACACGTTGACTTCAAAATTGCAAAACCTAAACCCTAATTATAAGCCACATGATTCATTCGATTCTATTCACCATTATCCTGTATTAGTAGACAAGTTAAACTAGTACTGGAAACGGAGACGACCCAGGGGGCATATGAATCAGTATTAATAAAAATTGTTGCTCCCTTTTAGGATACAATTTAGAGCCCAAAGGATGCAAAAAAGTCGGCGTCCGATGGTTGCTTGTTGGGCTTTTGTTGTTGATTCAACTGTGTCTGTGTCTGTGCCTGTCCTTGTCCTTGCGATTGATTGCTGGTCATAGTTGTACCGGTACATGTAGCTCCAGCAAAGAGCCCAAATGGATCATCACTTGTGGAGGTAGATGTAGGAGTATCGGAATACCAGCGTTTCTCTTCGTATTTCTGTCTTATGAAAGCTAGTCTCTGTGCGCAATCATTGCAAGACCTGAGACTACAGCCGTTGCACTTGGTGGGTGGTGGCTTGACTGTACATGTCCCTTCAGTGCAAGTGCTGCCACGTGGCAAGTTGGCTTCGTAGAGAGCATTGACTCTGTGATTGCCGTTGGTTTCCAGAAGGGTTACTGTACTTCCTGATCAGTGAATCCATCGAGTCCAATGCACTTGCCTCTGGTTATATGAGCTCCCAGAGCTCGATGAGCTGCGTAGCATTGGTTGCAAAGAAAGACCCCAAGCTTGACGGAACAAAACTTGACCAACGCTTTCCCACTCTTACCGCAATCCGCGCACTCCAGATTCCCAGGTACACTTGTCAGCAAACCACGGACTTTGGCGTCGTTGTTACTACCAGTACTACTCATTCTCTTCTATTCAATTGACCTACCAGTACTCACAGCAACGCTGTATCTACCATGCATGGGATATACTGGTATCCAGTTCGCTTATTGGGGAGGATCACTCCGATCAAGGATCGTTTGAAGCTAGATACTACTAGTATAAACTATGAAAAGTAATGTTTGTTAAGTCCTTTTCTATTCATTGTTCGATGTTTATTCAAAGTATGCTGGCAAAGGCTCCCAATATGAGATGCCAGGGGCCCCCAGGATTGCAGCCAGATCCACTTTGCCTTGGATGGTTTGTACCTTTTTTCCAGTAGACAAACAGTGGTGATCATCCCCGAGTCCGCAGAGAGATCTAAATTTGAGTATTTTTGTGTTCTTGACCAAGCTAACCTCTTGTGGCCATCGATGGCACACAGATACTGAAGTTGCAGTGGTCCTTGCATATCGGTACGATGATGGAGGATCATATGAGCTTCTTTGGTGAGGACATACATGTAGTATCCTTGCCAAAATAAATAAATGCTGTCAGCAAAATTTACTCACAGTCCCTCTAATCCCTTTTGCAGAATTAACGGGAATGGATCAAGGTCCAAAGATTTAACAACCAAAGATCCACCAATGACGTCAGAGAAAGATCTTCTTTGGTGCCAACGCAGAAAAGATCCGACCTCCTTGATCCTTTTATGTTGCCCGTTTCACAATTTTTTCTCGGTCATGACAGTAAGACCATGAAGTCCTTCAAGTTTTCCTTCTATGCATCACTACTATTAATAGTGTTGCTGTCCTTTAGCACAAGCAGTACTCGTAGTTGTGTGTCTGCCTTCACCCTGCCATTGCTCATGGCGGATGTGTCTTCGACTCAAACGCAGACCTCGTCGGACTCGGAAGCTTCCGTAAGGTATCTGTATGATCCCGCAGAACGGCAAGCTCATTACAACAATGACGCCGACATAGCTCAGTACCTCGTAGATCTTCACGACCATCAGGCCACATTTGACTTTTGCGGAGGAATGATGTTCCAGCTGGAACTCACGCCAGCCTTGAGGGACCATCTCGTGCACGTGGCTGCTATTAATAGTGCTAGTAGCGGTAGCGGTAGTAGCGGTAGTAGCAATAGTGGTACATGTAGTGAGCAACCAGTGGTCTTTGATGCAGGCAAACCACGAATGTTCATGACGGACAATTACCAGCAAACCTCGAATGCAGACAATCTTGGCGTATTTCATGGCAGAGAAATCAGACAAGTTCCCACGGCGGCAGGTGGCATGGGAATGGTCTTGCAACTCAGTCTAGCTACCGGTACTGGTACCCAAGACAGCACAAGCACAAACACAAACACAAACGCAGACACAAACGCAGACAAGGAAGGATGGACATCCGCTGAACTAGCACGCTACGACGGCTGGGGTCACGACAGTGGAAGAGAATGGCGCAAGGGAAATCAGCTGGAAGAGGAAGGATTCACGAACTTTCGACAGAAATATGGACCCAACGCATTCTCGCTCCATCATCGATTCTTCCTTCACTACGACCGAGCAAACAGAATCTGGTTGTCAGCCGAAGATGGATGCGAAGGTACACCCGCGCCCTCGCAAAAACCGTCTCTCTCCAATCTATTTGGACTCTTGTAGGAAACAAAACAAAACATAACATAAACAAAACATAAACTATAAACACCGAGAGCGCAAGAACCGAAATGATCTGATCTATCTTTTATCATTTCTTCTATCTCTAGAGTGACTATATCAGGGACCTGGTTTGGCAGGTCGACTTCTTTTTAAATGTCGAGTGCAACTCAAGCAACTCACCTCGTGGACTATGTTCCTGATGGATGGAGCAAACGATCGAGCGTACCGATATCCTGGAGCCATGGAAGGAACAGCCAACAGTAGACAGAGTAGACATCTTTGCTATAGCTAGTTTGGGTCTTGTCAATAAGAGCAGATTCAACGTTCGAAGGACTTTCCCGTCGAGAATCAGCTATTACTCAATCCCCAGAGGTGGGGTCGGTACCGGTACTGTTACACGTGTAGAGCCTCGCAGCCAGGTATATATGGAGCTCCCTTCAGTTCGGGATGTCTCCGCAATGTCAAGGGCTCGCTTGTCGGCGAAGATCGAGCTTCCAGAATTAACCTTCAGGCTGGGCAAGAGGGGCAAGCTCATCCAAACCATGAATCAGGTGCTCCATCAAACGGCAGGTCCTGGGAAATCAAGCCCCGACCATGCAGGAGAATCTCACGCAGGCGAAGGCTGTTGATCACGAGGCATTGAAAATTCAGAGAAAAAGAAAATGAGAGACAAGACTGTGGTCGCATAGACTGCGCCATCATCGTTTTCTCGCTGATGGTTGTCCTTAATTGGCGCAGTCTTTGGGAGGAAAGAAACAGTCTGAGCCTCGGTTCCAACCATGGCGCCAACGATTTCCTTCGAGTACGCACTATGTGCTGCACTTATTGCTGCCCAGCAATACAGTGGGTGTACTCAAGCGGCAGACCGCCCTCGGGCAACAAGGATCCCGCAGCAGATCCTCACAACAAAGAGGTCTAACGTGATGGAAGCTGGATTGCTTCAACGATTCGAGTTATTGGTTGCATCCTTCCGCGCCTTGGTTGGTCCTGCGTGCCTCGAAACAACCTTCAGGTAGTCTGCACCCTCGTACAATCCGTTTGAAAGAGTTGAGTCGAGCTTATTAGCCGAGTCCAGGTTGTTTCACGCTTTTGCTGATTCGATTCCAGGGTACGCTGAAATCGCTTTGTGGACGTCTCTGGATACAGGCATAATAGCACGTAGCTGCAATAAAATCTTTCGTATCCGGGTCGGTGGCTTGGCTGAACTTGACGGTGCCATTCGTCAACTCAAACAGTGGCAAGCAGTGGGCTCCTGGCCGCGACGGCAAGCTTCTATGTGGTCACTGACGAGCCCCCAATGCACCGTATCGACGATGAAGGTTCGGTGATGGGAGCGGTCAGGAAAAGTGTTGGAGTCCAAGGAAAGAACAAGCAGGTTGATTAAGCTTCCGTACGCTTCTTTCATCTTGTTTTTCTCAAGTTGCAGAGAGTTCAGCTTGGTCAGCCCTCCGACCATGGGCGAGAGTGAGCTTGCTGGTCCGCCAGATTGAAAAAGGGATTCACGTTTTGAGTCTCCATCTTCGGGAGATAATGTTCATTGGGCCTTCAGGACGTAGGAGGCAGGAGGCAGGCCGGTGTCTCTGCAAGGGGGGTGTTCTGACATCGCCTGGCTATTGTTCATCGGTTGCAGAATACAAGAATGCGGGCCACCAACAGGGTGAACATCAAAAACTAGCTAGTGTCGTCAGCTCGACTTCGACCTTCAACCTATGATACCTCGGTTTGGTTGCCTTGAGCTATCTGGTACCACCGATGCCTTGCGGTCTGGATACGTACAGTACAGGCAGCTTCGATTTCAAAGATTCAAACGCGTGTCGGGCTTTCTCGTACACTTCTACGAGAACTCGAGTAGAAGTGTACCAGGGAGCTCGGCTCGCGTTTGCATGAATACAATCGAAGCTGCTTGTACAGTGGTACTGGTACGGGTACGGCTGTTGGTGTGATGGTGTCTGTGCGGCGATGAAGAACATGCAGACAGAATGTCACTGCGACTTCTTGCTTGAATACTTCACAAGACGAGCCTATTTAATTTTAAAATATTTATTCGTGAAGTCTCTTCGATTGTGTTCTCGATAAAATTGCTTTATGCAGGATCTATCAAGCTTTTTTGTGCTGGAGCATCTTTCGCTTGAGAAAAAGCTTCCTTTTTCGACTATTCGTCCCCTCACAATCCAACGAAAGCAAAACCAAAGCTGAACCAAAAAGCAACGCAACAAACTACGGTACCTACCAAACACTATCACTATGAAGACCAAATGCGTTCCCACCCCTGTCGTCCGCATCGTTAAGTGCGATTGTGGCAAGTTCGAAGCCAAGGCAGAGAATGAATCCTTCCAATCCGTGATTTGCCACTGCCACGGCTGCGTAGCTTCCAAACGCCTCATGATCAAGAACCCTGACTGCTTTGAAGGAGTTCCCTTGAGTCTCTATCTCGCCAAGAATGTGGAGTTTCTGACGGATGTCAAGGCACCCGAAACATCGTCCAAGTTTGGCTTTGTCAAGGTGGGCGAGCACGGAAAGCTCCCTCGAATCTACTGCAAGTCCTGCAATTCGCATGTCATGAACCTCCCTGTCAAGGGTGTAGTTGCATTCAACCGATACTGCATGTATGAAGCAGATGGAATCACCAAGTACAACCCTGAAGGATTGTTGAACGTCAACGCCAAACATTCTTTTGATCCCTCCAAGGTCCCGGAACCCAAGCATGATACTTTTGGTCCCATTGGCTCTGTCCTCTGGGAGATTGCTCCGAGTATGATTGCTACCAAACTTCCTGGAGCAGCCGATATTTCCAAGGATCATAAAGGTCTCTTTCCTGATCCCAGCACGATGGAAGTTGCTGAAATCACTTGGTAGTCAGAGGAGCTACGCGAATGCTAGCATACACTGCTCTGTTCTGCGTATAAGAGGTTTCAGCAAGTGTGCGAAAAGAAGTAAGTAAGCGATGGATGAGGAATTGTGAGAATAGAAAGATTCAAAGGACATCGACAGTGGTAACTTTGAAAGTAGGACTGATCGTTCGTTTACGTGTATTCCAAAGGCACCTAGGCCACAACACCTCCAACTGCCCGATATCACCCCTTTTTGGCGGTCGATATGGGCCATTTCGGGACGATATCGTAGATTGGGGCCCCAGATATGGTCTGGGTACCAGCGTACCAGCCCCAGCATCCACATTGTTCATTTAGACATATAAGAAGTTGCTTCAACTATCCCCATCATGCCATGTACCTGGGAGTGCTCTACAATAGCCACACCGCACAATTTTACTAGCAGTTGGCACAGGACAACTCGTAGACCACACGGACACCATCGGTAGGGGCCAGGCAGGTCAACCCCACGAAAGTTTATCCCCTAATACCCCCAATGACAACATCATCCAACAGCATACACCCCAGCAAGGCCACAGCAGCTTCAACACTTTCAGTATTGTAAAGTATTACTTCTGAATTATCACTTGGCAGTGTTTTAGTACTTTTGCAGACAATTTTGGTTGACGATTTTGTGTGCACCGCAATGCACCAAACCGCACCGTACCAATTTTAAAAGGTGTCGGGCCACGAGCAGTAAGCCAGCGGCAGTTTGACAATATAATGACGTTCGTTTTCGCATATGTTTTGTATAAATTATGGAATCTGGAATCCCGACGGAACTTATACTCGCTGGATTGGAGGTTCGCAAACGAATCAACTGCCTGACTGGATTCGAGCCAAAATTCTAGCTTTCGCGCACCTATCCTACCTTCGTCTCTAAGTCTTTCATACATGTGAGAGCAAGTCAACCCATCGTGTTAGCGCCAAATTCAATACAGGTCTTAGTTTCCCACCCCATACACATCTTATTGGCACTGTCGAGAAAGGCAACAAACATAGAGCACCTCACAACACGTGAAATGTCGCAACTGCTACGTACTAACATCGTTACCCCTGGAGCCAGCTTTACCAGCCCCACTAGTACCACAGGTAGATACTGGAGAGCTAATGCCTCAATTGAATCGTCCAAGTTAGCCTCCAGGGATGGTGACTGGAGAATTGCTGGCAGTGGCCATAGCACGGTAACTTTGCGGACAAGGCACAATGGCAAAGGAAGACCAAATTACCAACGACTGGAGTATGGGGAGGAGATTAATGATGATGACGATCTAACAGCACCGGAGTTCGTTGAGCACGATCCAGCTGTCGAAGAGGCCACCACGGAAGAGGAAAACAAAGAACAAAATGGGCCCATTTTCAACACAAAGCCTCATGAAAGAGTCATTTTGGAAGTCGAATAACTCCACGAATGCTTCAATCAGCTGTCTTGCCGCAGAGAAAACTGTACTGGATCCCTCCAATTGAGGATCCACAATTGCTGCATTGCGTCCTCATTCAAACTGGAATGTACCAATGAAAATTGTGATTACGTCTACACCAGCAATAAGCCAACCCAAACGACAATGAATGGTGGCAATGACAAGATCGAAAGAAGCACCGACTATTCAATCAATGTATTGTATATATTAGTGAACATTGCGAATGGCAACGGTGGAACCGAAGCAGCCAAAATCCTTGTTCTTTTGGGTTTGCCCAATGACACTACGATGAAATCCCGTTTGTTCCGCATGATTGAGGAGCGAATTGCGCCTGCGATTCTTGAATTGAAGGATGAAGTCGTCCGTGAAAATCTCATAGAGGAGGTGCGCAAATCGACGCCAAATGAGCAAGATTTCCTAAATTGGATGGCTGCATTGAACGACCCCAACGGCACGTTACTCAATGATAAAATGCCGTTTGTCGATGGAGGATATGACATGGCGTGGCAGCAGAAAGGATCCGGTCATTTGCGGAACTCTGTTTCTGGTCACGGTTGTATTGTCGGTGCCCTTACGAGAAAGATCATATCGTTTGGCATCAAGAGCAAAATTTGCGGGCAATGTGAAGCTTGGGCCAAGAAACACGCAGATGCCGAGGCTGAGGACCGTCCACCAGTACCAGAACATTACTGTACCAGGAGTCACGATCCAAATGATTCGTCAGGGTCAATGGAAGCCGCTCTGGCTTAGGAGCTGGTCGTTGATCTGTTCCGGGACTCCAAAGTGATCATGCAGCACTTGTGCTGTGATGACGATTCGTCCATCTGTGCGGACTTGCAGTGGAATAATGCCAACTACAAAATCAACAACAAAACCGAGGTTCTGCGGAAGGTGAAAATCACGAAAGGGAAGAACAAAGGGGAGCTCCAGGACCGTCCTGACAAAGGGAAATTACCTGGTGATATTCCTGAACCCAAGCTTGTGGCTGATCCGACCCACCGCCGCAAACAGTTGACGGGAGAGCTCATCCGTCTCAATCTCTCTACCGTCGAGAGGAAGAAAGAGATGTGCCGAATGGATTCTATTCGTATTGGGAAGAACTTTGCTTAATTTATTCGTACACTCCAAGAGATTGAGGAAGGTCAATTCGAAAGCTGTGGCAAGGCCGTCTTGGACCACCACTTTGACAACCATGCAAACTGCGGGCCCTGGTGCCACCGGTCAAAAGAGACGGCTGATGAGCGAAAGAAAAGCAAGAAGGTTTACCGCACGCTGCAGGAAGACGCGGAGCTCTACAGTCTGTTAGACACCATCGTTGCCAAATACATTACACTGGAAATGTTGAAGGAATTGGCTCACGGCCAAGACACCAACGCAAACGAATCCTTCAACAGCCTGGCCACGTGGTTCGCTCCAAAGAACAAAGTCTTTGCCAGCACCCGCTCCCTTGAAAATCGCCTGGGAATGGCGGTCTGTATCCATTCGATTGGGTACGAACAATTCTACACTTGTCTCCTGTTCAAGCTCGGCATCAAGATGACCGACGGCATCTCTCATTACCTGGGAATTGTCCAGCGCAACCACGAAAAGCAACAAGCAAAGAAGAAAACGAACGAGTACAAAATTGTGCGCAAGAAGCGCAAAACCCAAAAACTAGCCACCGTTACGGACGAGTTCAAAACCAAGTTTGCAAAAGGGACGGGCGTTTACCACACCGGAATTAATATGGCGGAGGTCACAATGGAGGATCTCAGGACGATGCCTCCAGTTCGTAAAAAAGCAAAGAAGTCAAAGCATTATTGTCCTTTCTGCGGCAGGGCTGGTCATGTCAGCAAGAAGGCAAAAAAATCATGTTTACATGCTGGCAAGAGTGACACTGAAGCTCCACCAATCTTCTGCAGGCAAACTGGCAAAAAGCTTGCTGATATTGTGGCAGAGGCCTCTCCACAAGGGCCAACTAGTGCTGCTGCTTCTTTGCCTACAATCAATCAGCAGCAGGAGGAAGACGATACAGTGGCTCAAGATGTGCTAACCTTGGCTGAGGATGCAGCCCATGATTTGAGCGCTTTGGAGGAGATGCCATTCAATACTGTGGTGCCTGGAACTGAGCATCTTGCTCAGCATGCTCAGTTAGATGATGATACATCTGATGAGGAGGATCTTGATAGCAGTGATGATGAGGGAGATATCCCCAATGCCTTCTAGAAGGCTAGCTAGCTAGCAGCCAGCTAGATAGATAGAACTACTAATGTTGTATGTAATGACTTGTCGCTCTGGACGTAATGGTAGCCAGCGATGCACCGTACTCGTAATGGTACGACGTATCCAGTAGCCAGCAATGTACGTACCGTTCTCGACCTGGCATTTTTTGGAGCTGTTCTATCCAGTTCCAAGCCAACGGTGATAGGGAAAAGAATTCAAATTTTCGCCTCACATTTTAGGCTTCAACCGGGAATCGAACCGGCTCGCCGAATTGATTTCTATACTAAAATAGTACAATGAACACGGATTGGTCTCACTGACTGGATTCCGTGTGTAAATTCAAAAGATTTGAAATGGAAGCGCTGGAAAAGCGAGATTCCCCTTTCAAACAAAACAATCCATCAAACTCGCAACATCGCATGTGTGTGTTAGAGACCTCATTCTCTCGATACCTGCTGATTGTATGGCCCTACAACCATACACTTAGCTGCAGCTAATAGTGTAAGGAAGAGAGTAGTATCTGCTTGCAGGGCCATACTGGCAGCAGACATCGAGATTTATCGGTCGGAAGCAGCCGAATCGAAGAATCCATCCCTGTTCTGCACCGAGCCAGAAGGATAACAGGCCCATCAAACCTCGGGCAAAGCTCGCTGATTACAGCTCTCTAATACTATTAGTGACTGCTCTTGTATGTATAAAATACAGATGGCTGAAGCTGTCAGATATTCCAGCACCCCTTTACTAGCAGCCGTCGATTTTTCTGTTGTTGTTTTGCTCTCGCGATTCTATCGTGATAATTCCCTTTCCACGCACCAATATTGTTCACAGCTTATTGCTGGCTTAATCCTCGTGGCTCGACACTTTAAAAGCTGCAGAGATCCTGCATTCAAGGAATGCAATATTAATACCGGACTTACTTGAGTGGTTTGGTACTGAATTCAACCGTTATCAAAAAGCCAAACTGCTGCTGGTACAGGAAGGCAACCGGTTGGCGATAGTTAGTCGCGTTTACATAGCAAAAGTCGTTGTAAAGTCGCTAAAGCACATTAAAGTTGCTATTAAAGTTGCGATAAAGTCGCGGTAAAGTCGTGCAATACACGGCTCTTAGCCTTATTCGCGACTCGATCCTAAATAGGGTTTGAGTTCGACTCATGACTGAGTCTCTCGTGAATAGTCATTTGAGACAGGGTTCTCAATGACCGCTCTGGTCATACTAGGTTGATGATGAAACATCGCTCTAGATATTTAGCCAGCG